TGTATACAAATGTGTCTTAATTTGCACAAAAACAGATTTAACACCTGCTCCATTTTCATGACTTAGGAAATATACAGCAGCTCCTTCACTGTGAATCCACTAATTGCTCCACACATCACTCCCAAAACAGCTATACCTTTTTGTAAGTAACCTACAGTAAAAGAGTTATTGTACTGTAACTCCGTTGCTGAGGACGGTAGCTGTTTACAATAAAAGCCAGCAGTGAGAATTTGGCCGGAATGAAGTTTTCGAGCAGAGACATCCATTATGGATATGTCTGATTTGGGAAAATGGAATTGTGGAGTACTACATATGGGATTTGCAGAGTGCAACCAGACAGTGGTGGTGAAAGAAATGAATGTTATTAGAGTCTGGATAGAGCCAGAGTACTCTGGAGGAGACAAGAAAATGTTTTAACCAATAGTAGGAGAGGGATACTGCAGATGGTTGTCGTATCAATTTGGAATTCTAGTAGCCGTTGGTCAGTTTCTTATTATCCTGCATACACCAACTTCCTAATAAATAATATGAATATTGATGATTGTAATTAGTAATACAGGGGGTCTTTAGTTTACAAAGTCCTTGTAAGGTTTTTATGTCCTAGAATGTAGGACATACCCTGACGCTAGAAATCAAACACTAAAATAGGAACAACAGAGATGGTATTTATGGGCTTTATTTCAATGACATTAATGGGTCCTTCTAACTGTCTAGGCCTTTATTTCTGTAATCACAATATTCCTTTAAACATATATGTATGTTTACATACATTTAATGTGCCTCTCACACATATACAAAACATGTGCTTCCTAAAGTCATGAATGAACTCAGGTTTGTCCTTGTCAATAAACTGGTCAAACTAAATATTGAATTTACAAGAGGAAAGAAGGAACTTGGTATTCAGCTGCTGCAGCGGGCAATGAATGGGCAAGTCTAAAAATAATTCTGTAAGACTAAGGATGTTGACCCTGTCTTTTATGAACAATGAAAATTGCACTTAAAATAAAAACGTAAACTTTACTAATAATATTACAAAAAAAATTCAATATAATAACTATTAAAAGAGTCAAATACTGAATACAGGTGGAGTGAAGCAGATTACTGTATACCTTCATATGACGAATTCCACAGTGAGTCATGGGATTATTCTCGCCGGTCCACATGCGTTTGAAGTGTGTGTGATTTAGGTGATCATGACTTAGCAGCTCTGCACATAAAGCCTTGCCTTAAAGAGCTTTATGTACAGCACAGATCCAGGAGGGAGAAACCTCAGCCTCTCACCCTTGTCATTTTGGCTGGGACAAGGGTTGAGTGATTGCACAAACTTGATCGACTACTTTGCATGACGTACAATCAGATAAAACGGCCATCACTTTGGCTCTATCCAGCTATTAATCATGACTGAAATATGGAGGAATATGTATTCTCTTTGTCCATTAATCATGCTTATCCTTCATCTGGGAGTCAATTATCTAATGCGCAACAAATGGCTCAGCAGTAACCTTGAAGACACAGTCAGGGAGGCAAGCTCTCCATTTGTGTTTTGCTATCACCGGACCCGCTGGCGAGTTATTTTAGTGCAGATGGATTTATGGTGATTTGAAAAACATTTGAAAACTTTTGTTTTATAGGTCCTATCAAAGCCAGACACTTTTAATGTCTGCACATTTGTGTGACTAAGATATTTATGTCACTTTTGACAAGAAAGAAATACAATAAGTTATCCTAAAGCGAACGCAGTGTGACTTTTTCCTCTCTAGGAAAACCACTTTACATGGAAGCTGCGAGTGATCACAAGACTTCCTGTTCTGTAATATTTATCCTTCAAACGCAAAACCTGTGCTGTTTTGAAGTCTGCCTTAATCTGCTATTGGTTCGGTAGAAAAAGAAGAAACATCACAGCATCAGTTCCACACTGATGTCTTGCTGATCCTAAGGGTGCACACGTACAGTATGAGAGGGGTCAAAGAAGTCTCTGTTCCCCTACATAACAATTGATTATTTCAAAGTCTACAGCATATGTTACACCACAGGGACACTGACAATAGTGGGTAATTATTGCTTCAGGTTCAGCCGCTTTACAAAAACAGACGCTCACGCATTTTGCTGAACTGAAAACACAGAAAAAGTGCCTTATGTATTTCTATACAAATAAAAAAAATGAATGTGATTAAATATAGGGAAGTTGTAGATTGATCATGATTGATCACGATTAATTGTGTTTAATCATAATTTGCAATTTGCAAATTTGCAATAATATGACCAAAATAACTATTTTTCTGTGTATTACAAACTTTTGTATTTCATTGTATTTAAAGAAATATCTCGTCAAATCCTAGTTCTAAAAATAATATTGCTTTGAAAAACTTTCATCACCTCTCCCTGAGTTGCATTTAGGGTTTTCTCAGGAGACTCCGATTTCTTCCCACACTCTAAAGACAGACTGGAGGTATATTCTAGACTTTAAACTCTCTATATTGTTTATCTTCACAGCCTTGTGACGGACTGACCACCTAGTCAGGATTTACCCCCCTGCCCCCATGTCGGCTGGGATTGACTTCTGTTCCCACCAGTAATTCCAAACAAGATAAAGCAAATGCTGTTGAAAACGATGTGATAGCTCACCATTTAAACACAGCTAAGGTGAAGGGACGGCTGGAGATGGCAGAGCTGAGACACATTTACAACTGTTGATTACGACTTATCTTATCTTGAGGAAAATCTAGTCATTTTTTAGAAATTCTAGAATATCCTATTGTGTCCAATATTGGAAGTTTGATATTTTTATTTGAATCTTTTCTCATTTTCTTCTTCAAAGTAAATTGTGAAACACACTGTAACATAGTCATTCATCCACAGTTTAAAATCTCTGTGCCCTTCATTTGATTTCTTCCCCTCCTCAGTTTTATGTCCACTGTGTCTCCCAAAGCACATTTTCACATTTCTTCAACCGTCCCACTGCTTCCAGTAAATGGACCTCTGTAGAAAAAAAAAATCCAAGGCAGGTTTTCTCTCTTGATAAAATCTCAATTCCTGGCTTCTGTATGTCGACCTCGTCTTTGCCATAAGGGATGTTTATCGGTGATTGCAGGGCACTGATTCCTCGCTTAGGGTCACTTACTTCCTATTTTCACCATGTGTCCATTTTCTCAATGTAGTGCAAATTGAAAAGAAATCTCTGCAGCTCACTTATTGTAACAAACTGTCAAAAGACCCTTTTCACATGGCGGCCATTCAGACAGATTGCAATTAGAAAAGCACAGGTGTAAAATTAAATTAATGATGAGTTCCCTTAAGGAATTCCATCCATTTTTTTTTCAGAGTGCATCCTGGCTTACTGTCACACGGACTTACAAGTACCGAACTGAGCTGCTAGTAATGTTATCAGGAGCACCTGTGCTTTTCCTGCGGCAAAACAGCAGCTGTGCAAAAGGCCTGTTGATGTCAGAGGCCCTCCATTCAAAACCCACTTGAAATGCTGCAATTACTCGTGTTATATGAAATCGTTTATTCAGTTCTGGGAATAAGAATACATTTGTGTGTGCATTTAAAAAAAAAAAAACCCTCAAGGCAAATGTGCCGGCCGCAGAGCGGGGCGTCAGGCAGGATGGAGTGTGGGTCTCAGATGAATAGCGGCCGTCGTGAGATAAGTCTGGGGGAAAATGGGATGGAGTGGAGAAATGTTGCAGAGTTCAGGTGTTAGGCTGTGCACCAGTGAGGTGAGAAATTGTTAGAGCCACACAGATGGCACACTCTTACCTCCATATGTATTACAGTATTTGCCATGGCACTACTGACACGCAAAATGACCTTCTGAATCTACCCTTCATGTGTGCGTCTGTACAGTACTATACAGTACTATACTATACAGTCCCTATGTTTCTGTCTTGGATCAAATCCCCTTGTGGAGGAATTGCTGCGGTGCTTCTGGCTTTATTATAATATACATATATATATATATATATACATACATATATATATACATACATATACATACATACATATACATACATATATATAGACATACATATACATACAT